AAAAGCAAACAAACCCTGCAAGACCCATCGGGAATGGGAAAAAAGAAAACCAAAAGGCAAACAAACCCTGCAAGACCTATCGGAAATGAGGGGAAAAAAACCCCAAAGCAAACAGACCCTACAAGACCCATCGAAAATGTGAACCCCCCAAAAAAACACTGCAAGACCCATTACAGCACAAAACATAACCCCCCCAGCCCAAAACCATGCTGCAAAACCCACCCAGTACAGGCAGTTTTTAAAAGGCAGAAAGCAGCACCTCACCAGGTAGTCTGAAGCCTCCTCTAAACACACACCCTCTAACCGCTGCGGCAAAAGAGCTACAAAGAAGCAGCCTCTTTGCCACCAACGGTTAGCAGTTTGAACTCCCTTTTTCCCAATCGTAACTAGAAGCTCTGGCCACAAGTCGAAGCAAAATTTTGCGGCCGGAGCTGGTTATAAGTCGGGGCACCACTGTATTAATTTTACTAAGTAATAAAAGATCAGATGTCAAATGTCTACATACCAGTATGGGAAGATAAGAAATGATGGCGTCTCTATTCTGCTTTATTCTACATTCAACCTGAATTCAACAGACATCAACAGAGGTTTGTTGTATTATACGATAAGAGCCAATATTTGTGAATGTATTCTGAACAGGTAGATATACAGAGCATACTCTCAGCCAAATCTCTAGAGTGTCATTCACAGTTTATATTGCTAAAAGCATTGGTAGAAACACAATAACATGCCTCCAACAAGAAATTTGTCTTCTCAGGATTGCTACATTGGTGTAAGCATCTTCTTAGCTAAAGTCAGTCTTCAGTCTTAAAAGCATTCTCACTCACATACTGTTGCATATGTTGATAAAATAACCATTATTCAAATGTATATTTTATTTTCAGGGTAGCATACAATAAAATGTTAAACAGTGCAACAAAACGGGAACATATAAACAAGCTAAACCAGCATAAAAATAATACATGAATCATAATAAAACATATCAACAATGCTTAAATGTCCGTGACAAGAATGCTTTTGCATAATGGTGAAAAGATTTCAAAGTATCTGTGAAGACCCTTTAGGAAGAGAATGTTCCTAAATCAAGGCATCATCATTGAAAGGACCCTTCGCTTTCTATCCCTCAGATGGCAGGGAAATAGGGAAGAAACTCTGACAAGTGCCTCAAAAATACAGACAGACACATATGAAGACATCTAGTCCTTCAGATATGCTGGCCTGAAGGATTTTAAAATTCAGCAGTTACAGCCTTTATATACTCGTTCCTCAACAAGACAGCCCCTTAAGGAGTAAAACAAAACTAGCTCTAATTACAGCTCAAACATTCTTTTAGGCAAAACCTTAGCAGAAATCTTAAGTCATTATTTAAAAGCACTTCTCCTATGTGTCTTCTAGTTTCACAATAAGGCATGAAAGTGTCATTTTACTGCACTATTTCTCATAATGAGCTATACATCTTTCCTACAAAGACAGAAAACATAGCTAATGCAATGACTTATTGATCTAAGTAACTACATACATGCTAGTGTTCAATTTCAAGTCTTTTAATAAAAGATTACTGAACTAGGCTTTTAAAATCCAATGATCACAAGGCAGTAATAACCTAGCAACTATATAGAAACACAGCTGGTTTGGCAAACATGCATTACTAGTTATAGAACAAGACAGGAAGAAATAGGCCATTGATGGTTGAAGGTTCAGAGGACTAAAGTATAACGGCAGCCAGTTGGTATGAAGAAGAAACATTCACATACAGTAACTTCTGTCTATCCTTAAATTCTATTTGTCACTCAGTTTCTCTCTGGGCAATCTGGATGCAGTGCTTTACTAACAGACTGTTCCACTGTTAATATCAAATATAGTGATATTTGAATTATTGCATTTTCACTTTTGAGAAGTTTCATTTCATTCTTTCTCTTTCACTTCTGGAACAAAGCAGGGGATAATGACAATTAGAGCTTTTTTTAAGCAGAATGCTATATTTCCTTGTATTGGGTTTGCTTTTGGATATTGTGCAAACCATTTAAGTTGTGGGTCAAATTGTGAATTAGCAAATAAAACTCATCTGGTATAGAGCTGGCTAATAGCATTTAAAAAGACAGACTCCTGTGAATACTTTTGAATACAGACTGCAGAACAGCTGGATTGTAATTCATCAAGCAGTTCAACACTATTCCTGTGGCTTGAACATAAAGATTTATCATCTCACAACACATATAAGATGAGAAGCACAAGTATGCTATTGTTATCAACTGTTTGTGAGTTGTCGTTTTTAATAAGAAAATTATTAGCCTATACCAGCGGTGGTGAACCTTTTTGGGCTCACGTGCCCAAACTGGAAAAAACAAAACAGTAGGCGATGCGCCGCCACAGCAGCGGAACCAGAAGTGGCGGCAGAAGGGGGGATCTCGGCACGGAGGTGCCTCAAGACCCCACTCCGGATCCGCTGCCAGCACCAGCTGCTCCAGATCCGCCTGCCGAAGCATTAGCACTGCATCTGTCTTTTCAGGTTTGTCTGCACGGGGGTAGTAGTGACCTGGTGACTTATGGCTCACATGCTGGCAGAAAGGCCTCCGCGTGCTAGCTGTGGCACACATGCCATAGGTTCGCCATCGCTTGCCTATACTATCAGTATGTACATTCTGTTCAGACTCATATCTACAATTCTACACACAAAGTAGTATACAAAACAAAAGGAGGTAGCCAATCTGGTTCTCTCTAGATGTTTGGAACTAAAATTCCTATAACTGCTGGCCATAATGGTTGTGGATTATGTCAGATGTAACCTGCAGGACACCAGTTTTCCTGTCCTTTGTATACAGTATTTACATGTGAAATTCAGTACTCCTTATCCATCAGATGAAGTGATTTAGAATGCTTACACCATAATAAAAAGTATTTATCTTTAAAAGTGTCACAAATTTGTTGTTCTTTAACTCAAAAGCAATTTCGCTGTAACATATTATATATCAATAATGTATATGTGCTGTGAACAAGACAAGTGAATGGTTACATATTATTCACAACCATTTTTATTGATCTGCAGATGTGTTTTGGAGAGTTTTACTTAGATGCTAAGATATCTAGGAATCTTACTGAAAACAATTAAGAGGTGTTCAGCTTTAAAAAAAATTAAAACAATTTTGATTACTTGGGCACATCACAAGTTCAGATTTAACCAGCCACACTTAAGCTGCATCCCTGCATTCACTTGTGAGGGAATAAATCCCATTGAACATAATGGTTCTTATTTCTGAACAGCCATGCATACTATTGCTCTGGTAGCTATGCTTAACTTATGTTATACAAGTATTTTTTTCTCATTTTTGTAAATCAAAAGTACATTCCACAAAAGAACAAAACACAAATCTTTCAATTAATTATTTTATCAGGTGAGATTCTCTGGACTGCCTTCATTAGCATGTATATTATGAGAAATTCTGAAATCAGGACCATCTTTCTTTGAATCAAACTTGTGTACATTTTTCAGATATCTTTTGGAATGGGCAATTCAAAATAAAGCAAAAACCATAATGGTGTACCACATAATGTTAACCTTAGCAATCAATCCAACAAAAAAAAAACACAACCATTTGAAAGTGGGGACTGAAAGGGAGAGGTTTCAAAAAGGAGCAAAATGAAAATTTGCTAAAGAATGTTTTTTCAATTGATTCAGCCAGTTTCAACATCTATAAAGGATTCACCTAATTTATAAAGTTAGCATGTATCTTTTTAAACTAAAAGTATCAATTGAAGTCACAGAGAGAAATCTGCAGGATTCATTATGAAAATATTCTCATTAATTTTGTTCCTGTCACTGCAGATGGTGGCAACAGCCATGAAATTAAAAGACACCGGTTTCTTGGGAGGAAAGCAGTGACAAACCTTGACAGCATCTTAAAAAGCAGACACATTACCTTGCCAACAAAAGTACGCATAATCAAAGCTAAGGTTTTTCCTGTAGTGATGTATGGAAGTGAAAGCTGGACCATAAAGAAAGCAGACCACTGAAGAATGGATGCTTTTGAATTGTAGTGCTCGAGGAGACTCTAGAGAGTCCCCTGGACTGCAAAGAGAACAAACCTATCCATATTGAAGGAAATCAACCCTGAGTGCTCACTGGAAGGACAGATCCTGAAGCTGAGGCTCCAATACTTTGGCCCTCTAATGAGAAGAGAAGACTCCATGGAAAAGACCATGATGTTGGGAAAGTGTGAAGGCAAGAGGAGAAGACGACGACAGAGGATGAGATGGTTGGACAGTGTCATCAAAGCAACCAACATGAATTTGACCAAACTCTGGGATGCAGTGGAAGCCAGGTGGGCCTGGCGTGCTCTGGTCCAAGGGGTCACGAAGAGTCGGACATGACTAAACAACAACAATTCTGCATGTGCTCATCTAACAGCAAGTCATAATTAACTCAGCAGGACTAACTTTTAAGTAGATATGAATAAGACTACAAAACCATGATCATCAACAGCTTCCTAAAGGATGCAAAAAACTAACAGTATGAAGAAATGCATTTAATGATAAAGACACATATTTCTACCAAGCTGCATCTTCTCTCCAGTCCTTGAACTCAACAACAATTTCACAGAAATGTTAATCCACTATAACTGACTTCTAACTGATATTTCCAAGTCCAAGGACACAAAAGGCAGAATAGAACAATCTGTCTTATCTTTATCCAGTGTTCAGAACTGAGTGTGCATTAGGTTACACATCTTTACCAGTTAGCTGGCATATCTTCATAGCCTAACAAATATGCAGCATCCTAATCTTGCATCTACAAAATCATACTCATATCAACAAGCCGCTGCCACTCCCTTTCTGGACAGCTTCATTTCTATGGATACACTTCTGAGTGTTAATTATTAAATATGGTTAAGTGAAAAAAAATATTTACTCAGGCCATCAGGCAGAAGAATGTTCAAATTATTGACAAGGCCAAGGCAAAATATTCCAGAATTGCTTGAGCTTCTTCGTACAATCTGCTTCATGTCAAAGCAAACCACATAGGTTAACATCATGGTTAAAGTCTATTATATGTATTGATTAGTTCATTTTCCCACTCTAAATCTCAGTGTCAGAACAGCAGCCTGTAAGCACATTCTCTTCTTAAAAGGCAAGGTTTCCAGCACACAAATTTAATTGTAGGTGCAAGTACTGTTTCCTAGAAGAAGATAAAAAATCCCTAGTTTATAGTGAATTATATGAAATGTCACTTCCTCTCAGAAGCCTATAGAAGCAGCCTAGGAATCAAAACCATTCTGATTCACAAGAATTTGCTATCTTGCCACCATCACTGAAAACTCAAACAATCCCAAATAACACAGCCATTCCAGGCGAAATCCAGGATACTTCAAAATTAAAGAGTTAGATCGACTGCAGGTGTTTCACATCAATTTGGCAAAGCATTACTTCTTTTCTAACGGACAGGGTGGAGGATGCACATGCTGTATGTAATCTAAAACCACAGAACAGAAAAAATATTCCCACTCCTGAAGCTGCCTTTTGCACATCATGTACATTTTTCCAGCAAAGGGTGGGGGCCAACCTAACATATAAGGGGAGTTCGGAAGAAAAAGAGAGTAAGAATTAAACGTAACTCTATGTACAAATTTAGGGGTTCAGTGAACAGGCAGCCAGCATTTTTTTTTCGGTTGGCATGCATTTCGTAGCGCTGTGGGAGCAAGTGGGAGAGAGTATGATTTTTGCCACCAAATGTCCAGTTATCTTAACAGGTGTAGGAAAGATTCCCCCCCCCCATACCACCTGCACGAATGGAGGGGGGGAATGAAGGAGAGCAGTGAATCAATGGAGGGAGAGAAACCTCCCGCCAAGTCGACAACAGGAGAGCGTCCCGCGCCACTTTCTCCTCCCTCTCGCCCAGCAAAGCCAGGATGCTCTTCCCCAGGCAGAAAGCCCACCGCATTTACCTGGCCCCGGGAGCGGCGCTGCCCAGTCACCCCCAAGCCCCGCACTCCAGAGACACCCCACAAGCCAGCCCAGCAGCACGCAGCGGTGCTTCAGCTTGTGGCTGGCGAGGGGAACCCTCTCCCCAGCAGGGCTGCAGCTGCTACAAACTCCAACACCCCCTCAGAGCCCGGCTCTGGAGGCCGCCATCTTCGCTTGGGCAGGGAAGCCGCCCTCCCCCGCGCAGGCGCAGGAGCCGCTGCCCAGCGTGTCACGAGACGCGTTCAGCTGATCGGTAGTTGCCGCTCCCCTCCTTCCTCGGCCCGGAGTCGGAGAGTCTTCACCCCCCTCGCCTTCCCTTGTCAAGGAACGAGGACATGCGCAGAGCGAAAAGCCGGAGGGGCGGGGGCGGGAGTGGCATAAGTTCTTTGGCTTCTAAAGAGCGAGAGCGCGCGCGCCCGCGTTAAAAAAAGCGGGAAAGGGGCGTTAATCATCCTTATCACTTTAGAACTGCAGAGCTGGAAGGGATCCTGTGGGTCATCCAGTCCAGCCCCTGCCAAGGAGGCACGGTGGGGAATCGAACTCCCAACCGCTGGATGGGTTTTTTGTGGGACGGGGAGGAGGAATGGAACAGGATGGTGCTGCAGTCTTTAATGCCAGAATTGTGTGAAAAGCTTCCTGTATTTAATGGTCAACCAGGAGCTCTTGGGCAGCGTGAAGTTAGAGGAAGAGGAAGAGGCTTTTGGCTGCATTCATTTAGGCAGGGGTTTTTTTTTGTTTTTGTTTCTGACATGTGTTTTGTTATAAATCTCCAGGCTTTCATGATATGAAGTTAAAACAACAAAATACAAACTAAGATCAAATGTAGGGGGAAAATTGGAGTACTGGAAGAGACTGTGAGGCTCTCTGGTCAGGCTTTCTGACTCAGCCCTGACTGTTGAGCCTAACACACAAATCATGTCATATCTGGATTAATTGTTGCTTGCCTCAACATTTGTGGCCCTCAAAATACTGTTGGATTACAACAACCGTCAACAGCCCCAGCCAGCTGATCCAAAAGGCTGGGAAATGGAACTTCCATCCAGCAACATCTGGAGAGCTGTAAATTCCACACCTCTTGATCAGAGAGACCAGCTTAATTTGAAAGCAGGGACTCTGCAGCTTTGTATCTCTGACTCCAGTGTTGCATGAACTATTCCCTCTTTAATGCAGTTTTTACAGCCAGTAAGACACTATCTGGAAAAATCATGACAGAGATTCCTGAGAATGTGAATCCTTGTCAGCTGGTGAATGACAAATTATGGCAGATGTTTTTCTTTGGAAAGGTTACTCATAAAACATTCTTTAGAGTTGTATTTGAGGAATATGTGATGGGCAATTCACCATAAGCTGGGCCTTGTTAGCCTGAGTCCAGGATGTTGACTTGTTACCAAGGCGTCCCAATCTCAGATCTGTTTCTTTATGCATGTTTTATACAGATGTGTGTACTGTGGACCTGGATCCAAATCCTTTAAGTACATAACAATGACCCTACTATAAGTAATCTCATAAGTATAAATGGCAGATTAGTGATAATTTCCTTCTTTGGTTTGTAAGTATGTGTGTAGGATTCTGCAGATCAGAGGTAAATTGTCTTCATTTCAGTCAGGGTCAATAATGTTATTTTCATTAAGTTCTGTTCACCTTAAGGCATATACTTAGAAACAAGAGGAATTTGTTCTGGCAATAACTTATGAATATTTGTGTTAAACCTTAATTGTAGACAAAATAGCAACACCTAAAATACTGAACAATGCAACGTTTTACACAGATATTGGGAAGTAAATTCTATTGAGTTCAATGGGGCTTACTCCCAGGTGTGATCTTGCATTAGAAACTAAAGGCCATAGTTTTCCATTTCTAACTCTTTTAAAATGCAAAACATTACTAAGCAACAGTCTTTTAATATTTGCAACCTCATAAAATGGGATGGCACAAATTTAAAAGTTTTTGTTATTGTACATATTTGCTTATAGTATTTAATTTGGCTCTGGGTTGATGCATGTTGAAAAATAAGGGAAAATGATAGAGTTATTTTGTGCTTCAGCTGTCTGAATAAATACCAGCTAAAAAGGGTTTTTTTTCCTGCTTTCCATCTGTGCCCTGACACACACACACCAGGCCTTCCATTTGGTCAGGTAAACTAAACAGCTAGTGTCTTATCTCTTAGTTCTCTAAGTGAAATCCACAGAACTTTTCATTGCCTTTGAAACTGGTAGAAGGAAGGATAGTACAGTATTGGTGTTGCGACAAGCCTGAATTTCTCAACCCAGCTACAAGATCACTTCTGCATCTTGCATTAAGTTTACATTATTGCTTACTTATTGGAGGAAATGAAGCCACAGCATCTGGCTAACAACTATAGATGTAAATGTATATCTTAAAACACTTTTCTTCATTTCCTCTGCAATCTTAATCTTGGGGGTTAATAATACAGCATGCCGCCAGATTTGTAAACTTCTTGTTTCTTTCCCTCATTCCCTCATTTTAGTATAATTTAACCGTCTGAACCATTTCTAGAGGACTTGCATACAAACTCATACTTTGGTGATAATCTGGCTGCTCTTAATATATTACCTAATTCTGCTTTGTCATCATGAGACAGTAGTATTTTGCTTTCTTGTACAAACGAGGAACAAACAAACAGTTTTCTTATTCCACCTGAGTTTCTTTAACACAAAAGTGACTGAACTAAAGCTCAGAGCAGTTTTCTTATTCCACCTGATACGGAGTTTCTTCAACACAAAAGTGACTGAACTAAAGCTCAGATATAAATTGGTTTGCATCAGACACCTGTAGAAGACATGAGGAATACACCACAAACTTTTTTGGCACATGGGATGTTTTTACCGTATTATTAAAATAGAACCATGGCCTGGAAGAATATTGTTACTATCATACCAGTTGTTTTTTAAAAAACCAGGGTAGCATGATTAGTTTGGACACTTTAAAATATATTAGGCTCAGAGAACATGAATGGGCCAAAACAAACCAATAAGCATTTTAGAAGATCTGAATACAGGTATTCAAATATTGTTGAACACAATCCCTATCTGTCCCTGCCAGTCTAGCTAGTGGTGAAGGAAGATGGAAGTACTAATTCATTAACATTGGGAATTAACACATTGTCTATCCTTGCTTGTTATTTAATAAGGGTTATCTTGTATGCATGTATGTATACCTATTTATATGGGTTAAATCTAATTTTTATTCTCAGCTAGAGCAGACTAATGGGACTTAAGTCAATAATTATAGAAGCCCTATATATTCAATGGGTCTAATCTAGTTAGAACAAAGAGTTGGAGGTAGGCCATGAAGATTTTGGTATGGGTTATTTAGAAATTATGATTTTCGTAGTCTGGAATAATACTTGCTCTCTTGTCTAATCATAGTGTACTTTCTCATTTAAAACAATCTATTATGTATTCAGTTGTAGTCTGCTGTGTGATGTATGTATAATTTTACTCCATTATTAAAAAATAAACTGATAGTTTTTGAATGCGTTGGCAATAATGGGTCTTGGATTGTGTTTGTGCATGCGGAAATCACATCTGAAACTCAACAACTCCCTGTACAGTATGTTGGTATATACTTCCGTTTTTTTTGTCCTTACTGTAGAATTTCATTAACTTGTTTTCTTGATATAGAAATTCCACTTTCCATCTTGAAATGCAGCCATCATAAACATTTGTGATTAGAAAGGAAAAGTACCTTCCAACACCAGTCTAATCTAGCTCATCCCTGTTTTAGAGTTGCTTTGTTTCATCAATTAGCAGCAGCTGAGCACAAGACCCATATAATAGAGCAAAAAGCATCCAACTCAGCTGTGCATAGTCTACCCTCCTCATAGCCCCAGGTGAACAGGAGATTCCTCAAGATCTCCCCTCAGTTGTTTCCAAAAGAAAAGCAATTCAGGTAGTCTAAACCAGGCTCTCAAAACAGAGTTCATCTGCCTTTGTTTGGCCAATGCAGTGAGATTCTGCAGGTCAGTTTTCTGGGCTGGTGGACAAGAAAAACATAAACGTACTTTCATCAGCTTGATTGCATTCTGAAAAAAAAGGTAATCAGCTAGGACAATAATGTCACCCTTTATTTTACCTTTGCTAAATTTTACTCTTTAATAACTTTCATTGGATTTATTGTCAGGAAAGGAGAGTATATTTATTTGTAAATTACAGAACTGCTGGTACAATTATAGAAAGGGAGAAAGATAACTTCCTACATCCCTGAATAAGGTATAGTCAAGTTTTAATCACTACAAAAAAGTACATTGTCTTCCATTTTGTGTATCTGAAACGGGATTTCAGCCACTGTATTACACTGTATGCTGTCACGGACAATGTACTGTATTAACATCTGCTTCTGAAAAATCAAAGTGCCACTTTTTTGGAGGGAAAGAGAATGATTGACTAGGCACACTGGTACACAGACACCCACCCTTAAATTATGAGGATAAAGGAATCTTCTTGTCTGAACCTTTCTGGTTTGGTATAAGACTTTATAGTCCTGAACTATTGCAGATGTATCTTGGCAGAGTAGTAAAGCACAGACTTTGCATAAAGGCCAGACTATGTGTTACATTAAACCAGAGTTTGGAAGTGTTCCTTTTTTGGACCACAACACCAAAAATGTTTCAGCAAGGAATTCTAAGATTATGATCCAAATAAAGTAATTTTATAACCCCTTGTGTTAAGTGTGGCATTTGTTAGTTGCCCATGCTCTTTGTGCAGTTGTGAATAGTAGGTGCTATTTTCGGTGCTGCTGATGCAGGATCAGAACCGTAACACAGCTGGTGGGGGAAGTTCCTCTTTTGCCATTGCCCTCCCCAATAAATTCTCCCCACAGCTGTTGTTACATAGTTCCAAGAAAAGCTTCTGTCATTGTGAGTCCAGTAAGGAAGAAAAGGCACTTCTGTAGAGTAGATATTAGCAAATGAAAATCACCTGCTATAAGCAGAATTTTAAAAGGTTACTTTTTTGGATTTTATTTTACAGGCACAATCTCCCAGAATCACCGGGGGAGGGATTTGGACAGGTATTGTTGAAAATGCACATTCCAAATTGGGGTGTAAAATAGCTTTCTCTGTTGTTACTCCAGCTTGAACCTTTCTTTCCAGATAGAGTAAGGCTATGTGAGACAGTCACCCTCAAGGTCAGAGTGGCTTACCTTTTCAACAGGAACACATGGAGATGTGAGGACCCTCTTGCCTTTCCTCCTTATTATAAAAACAGTCCTTTTATGTTGTGAAAGAGAAGACTGACAAGCAAGGGAGGACAAAGGTGTGGTAGAAAATGGTTGGTGCACCGACAATTTTAGTGACCAATGGGGCAGCACATTTTCGCTTGTGTGGTATGCCCCTCAAAACTGAGAAAAGGCAGCACAGTCAATTTCTAATCTACACAGAGTTGCTTGTTTCATGTTAAAATGTGTTTTGCTTAGAAGTTGCTTCGTTTAAAAATGTTGTTAAAATGTGTTTTAGCCTCCAAACTCTCTCTCTTCCCCCTTGTCTTCTCTCTCTTTGTCTTCTTTTTGTGCTTAAAAGCACAAACTTTTGTCTGAGGGGTCTGCATGCCCCAGTGATGACCTTCTTTCTTTCTTTCTTTCTTTCTTTCTTTCTTTCTTTCTTTCTTTCTTTCTTTCTTTCTTTCTTTCTTTCTTTCTTTGTTTTCTTGTTTTCTTTTCCCCATTGTTCCCTCCCTCCTTTCCTGCCCCCCTTTTTACCTAAAAAGTGTTTGGCTTGGCTTAAAAGGTGCTTTTCAAGGTGTTGTGTTTAGAAGATATTCCCTCCCCCTGTCCCTCCTTTCCTGCCCTTTTTTTTTAACCTAAAAGGTGCTTGGCTTGCTTTGGTTTTGTTTAAAAGCTGCTTTTTAAATAGGTTTTCTGTTTAGAAGGTGTTCCCTCCTCCCCCTCCCTCCTTTCCTGCCCCCTTTTTTTGACCTAAGTTCATCTTAGGTCAAAAGAAGAAGAAATTCTCCCCCTAGTGGTAGAGAACGGATTAACCGGCTTTTCATTAGTTCCTATGGCAGAGATCAGGGAACTTTTTTACCTTTTATCCTCCAAAAAATTTATATATGCCGACATTACCCCCTTGATTCAAAAGGAAGGAAATCATACATTATTTGAATTAAAAATATTGTTGAATCTACACAGGCTGTGTACTGAACTAGCA